TCTTTCTGTCTGAGTGTTGGCATGTGTGTGCATGTCCGTGTGTGTGTAAGCATGTGTGTGTGTATGTCTGTGCATGTCCGTGTGTGTGTAAGCATGTGTGTGTATGTATGTATGTGTGTATGTGTCTGTCTGTAATGTATGTCTGTATGTGTGTGTAGGTATGTAGGTGTGTGTGTATGCATGTGTGTGTGCTTGTCTGTCTGTCTGTAGGTAGGTAGTTATGTATGTATGTATGTATCTATGTATGTATGTATCTATGTATGTATGAGTGTATGTATGTATGTATGTATGAGTATGTGGTCTGGCAGATTGCCTGTATGTGACTGTATATGTTTCAGGGGTCTCCGTGGTGAAGTGATTAAACCATTTGCCTTGAGCTCTGCATGTGGTGGAGTATTTTTTCGTTCCACATAAGTGTCGTTTAGTTCATCAGTGCAATTTTGTCACAGAGATCCATGTTGATCATCGCCAGGGCAGCGAAGGTCGTGCCTTGTGCGACGCTCTCAGCCGTTTTGCAGAGAGAGACCGAGTCATGTGGGATATACCCTACTGCAGTGAAGCATTTCCTCTCAACTGTGACTGTATGTGGGTGCATTAGTGCGTACGTACATAAAAGCTAAGATCACGGGCTGTCCGAGCATACAACCCAAATGTAGACTGTAATGTGCTCTTAGAGACAATTCAGGCTGAGCTGATAGGCACTCCTTTATGTAAACAGAAATGAAGATCGTCCTTTGCACAAACATGAGTTCCCAAGAATCCACTTGCAAAAATGTTATGTGGTATACTATTTCTGGCGGTTGACACATTGGGTTGTGGTTTACAGCTAGGCTTCTCAGCCCAATGCATCTGGTTTCGGGAAATAATTATTTAAGTCCCCTTTAGAGATATGCTTGTTTGGGGTGAGTGGGTCCACACCCCCACCCCACCCCCTCCTCATATAAAGCCCCTGCACCCACAGGGGGAATGTAGCATCCTAAAATAGATGATTTTTTTGTATAGGTAAAACTGCACACAAGCTACAGATTCAGGTTTCTAGCTGTGGTTATGGCGATGTCACTGGTTCCCAAACGGTAGCTGGCTCCACAAGACGTGGACATCATTCATCCATTAAACTCTTTTCGTCCAATGCAGTCACACTACATTTAACCACTTTCACGTGCATACTTTCTAAGTGATTCCATGAGTTTGCTTAAGACGATAGATACAGAATGGATAAGAATAAAATGGTTGGAGTCGCTGGGGAAATCTTGTCTGTTAGGAATTAAGTTTAATTTTTTGTGCCAGGACACTCTGGGGCAAGAGGGAATGAACTAGCGGATTAGCTTGCTGATAGAGCAACAGTAGGTACAGGAAAAACAAATAGACAATAGACCGGACCGACATTCTTAGTGCTGTCAAGGAGGCAGGACGAGATGATGGTTCAGGAGGTCGTCAAACATCATCACTATACAGGTGTAACACTATGTGCTGTAGAGTTAAATCTTTGAGACTTTGTGTGTTAAAACAATATAATTGAACCTATGTCCACAAGGGAAGCCACTGTGGAATAGTGGCTAGACGCTCGCCTGCGGATCGGAATGTCATGGGTTCACATCCAAATGCAGCCAAATTTTTGTTTTTTAGACGACCTTGGCTTCTGGTTAATCCAGCCGTGAGAGGGTACCAGGTAAAGTCCATTGAAGTCAGTGGGGCCAGTGTGATGCTGACCACATCACTCACTGAGTGCCGATTGATCTATGAAATATAGATCTAGCTCTATATGCCAATACTGCTGAAGGCAGGAAAAGGATGCTTTACTTTACTCGTGTCCGCAAGGCTTACAGACAAGCCTGCTGTCAAAGTAAAGGACCCTTTTCCACGTCTTTCGGGCATATTGGGTATATAGGGCTAGACCTAAATTTTATAGACCAAACGGCACTTGATGGGTGATGTCAGTATCACGCCGGTCGCCTTTACTTTCCAGGACTGTACCTGGTACCTACTCAAGGTTAAGTCGACATGGAAGTCAAGGTCATTTTTGAAAAAGTCGGGCTCTTGTCAGGAACTGAACCCTCGACCTTCCGATCCGCAGGAAAGCTTTTAGCCACTAGACCACGGTGGCTCCCAAGCTTGCTATAGTCTCCATGAAAAGATATCAGACCAAAGGGCAAGTAGAACCAGTCAGCGTCACACTGTCACAGACACAAACAACAAGTGAACGTTGTGGCAAGAGCACCTTCATTAGCATATAACACAAATATTCATTACCACGTATACAAACAAGAATAAATACAAATCATTTAACTGAAATATTTCCTAGTTTGCCTTGCGCTCTGAAAGGAAAGTCGTGGGTTCGTTCACAGCTGCGCCCTTCAGTTCACAAGTGCAGTTTTTATGGAGATTCCTGGGGATTTCGCCGGATCTACTCTCGGGAGGCGGCTAGCCGTTCTGTGGAGAGAGACTGAGCCATATGGGATAAAACTCAGTGCAGTGAAGCCTTTTCTTTTTTTCTTTTTTTTCAACTTTATCTCTGAGAGAAATCACATTTCTTTTTAGCGAGTTCCTGCTATAGCCTCCAGTGTTGTTACCTCTTGAATTTGTATATTTGTAGGTGAGGTGTTTATGTTTGTTTTATTAAACTCCCCATATAGGTTCCAGGGTCCCATTATGTTGAAGAAAGAATAGACCCACTGTGCCTTCGACTTCAAAGGAAACCCTCTAGTTAATCAACTCTTAAGACAAGCTTGTAAGGGAGGAAATAGGTTGATTCGTTTCTCCCTTATAGTTGGGACTTGGAACCCACATGGTTATATGCTTTTTTTTCCAACCACGAACAGTTGTTACTTTAACTTCTTCCACCCAAAAGAGTAAATAACTTCTCAGCATAGTTACACTGTGAGAGAGAGAAGAAGTTAAACCCATCTTCTTTTTCATTGTGTTCACAGCTCATCAACTTCTGGATTCTAGTCCTGTTCTAGAAAACTGAGTGTTGCACATCCATTTCACATGCCGTGCATACTGTTGGTTCCTTGCCTCTCAAGCATATGTACTCCGACTTTGAAGGAAGCTTCCATTTAGTCGACTCGTACGATATGCTTTTGGGAAGGCGGTGGGTCAGTTCTTGTTTCCCCCAAAATGGGGCACCGGAACCCATACGGGGAAGTTAAACTAGGAGTCTAGACAATAATCAATGATATAACATTCTCCTGTGACAGACGACAGCTGGCAAATTATACTATCTTTGAATCGATCCAAAAACTCATGGTGAGTTGTTTGGCACTGAAAGAGTTATTTGTCACCTTTTAGGACATGCTTGTTTCTGGGCAGTGATTCTCCACACCCCGCAAATTGGAGTCCACAAAACCATCATGGGGTAATGTATCAAGTTCATGTGAATGCCATTTAGCCACATGTCTGCAGTGTCTCTCTTGGGCTTTCAAGACATATCTCATCAGCAAAAGTAATAACACAGGTACATATTCGTTTAGACAACGTGACTGCAGTGTCTCTCTTGGGTTTTCAAGACTTTTCTTATCAGCAAAAGTAATAACACAAGTACATATTCATTTAGACACTTGACTACAGTGTCTCTCTTGGGTTTTCAAGACATTTTTCATCAGCAAAAGTAATAACACAAATACATATTCACTCTGAAAATGCCTCCCAAGCTTAAATAGGTTGGGAGTCACTGAGTTATTTGCTGTGTTAGAGGGACAACCTGAAGTCTTTGTAAACATCTCAGGGGAAAATTTGCCTTTCAAAATTTGCTTTAGCCACCCACTGGGTCTAGGTCTTTCACTTCTCGCCTGCTTGTCACTGTGTGTGTGAATCACTTTGTATGTACAGCTTTCTCAGTGATTTTGTGTGCACAGCCTTAAGTGAATTCTGCCACTTTCTACTACATTTCTTATACTTTATGTTTTTGTATTTGTCCATCTGTGTAGGTGTGTGCCTGAGGTCGTTTATTTGTCATGTGTCCTGTCTTGTCTGTTGGAGGGGCTATCATTCAAACACAGTTACACTCTTTCTTGTTTCACGTCTTCCCCATGTGCGTTTCCAGGATCACATTCCGAAGAGGGTATAATAGACTCACTGACCACCGGACAAGCGTGTTTTGAAAGTGGACTATTAAGAGTGTTTCTTCTGAAGTCAGATTGCAACTTCCCGAGAGATTGGGAATGGCCAGAATCTTCTCCTACTTTCCCATCATCACAATGTACTGGAGTTTTCTCCTTGTCATGAAATGACCAAAGAATGTAGATTGTCTCCTTCTGATCTAAATAGTCAATTCTTTTCCATTCAGTTTTTTTCAAATACATCTTTATTACTGTTTATATCTGTCCAGGGTGTTCTCATTCATTTGTAAAACCATATCTTCACCACTTCCACATAGATTCTTTTTTTTTCAGACCTCAGTTGACAGAGGAAGGTTGCATAAAATATTCTTCATGTTATGAAATGCTGCTTTTGACTGAGCTGTTCTACATTAACTGTTTCTTCTTCCTCGTCCTCTTATTCTTCTTCCTCTTCCTCTTATTCTTCCTCTTCTTCTTTTTCTTCTTCTTATTCGTCTTTTTCTTCTTCTTTTTCTTCTTCTTCTTCTTCTTCTTCTTATTCTTCATCTTCTTCCTTGTCCTCTTATCTTTCTTCTTCCTCTTCCTCTTCTTCTTCTTCTTCCTCTTCTTTTCTTCTTCTACTTCTTCCTCCTTCTCCTCCTCCTTTTTCTTCTTCTTTGTCAGCCCTTTTTTATCTCACCATAGAGTGTATGCTCTCAACCAACCCATGTCCTTCTATCATATGCAACTCACCCTGAGTCCTTCTCATCTTTCTAATGTTACTTTCTAGTTCTTTTTATGCATTTTTGGGTCTCCACTTATTCCTTTGAGCCTGTGGGCTCCAAAGCAAAGACACTGGCTTTATTTTATGCTTTTATTAGGTTTTCCCAGAGCATGTTTTATCCATCACCAGCGAAATATCTTTGGTATCAAATATTTCATGTGTAATTTGTTCTTCTCCAGGGTTAGGTGTTCTTCTTGTCATTGTTGTGGGAGTCGGATGGAAGTGCACACCAAGAGGGCATGAGCCATTGCATGCTCTGTTTGGTATTGGGAACTTCCGACATCATCGGCGCACTAGAGAAGGTCGGCATGGTCGATACAGACATCGGGACAGAAATTGGTTTGGAGGTTTGTTGCTCTCTTGTTTTCAGAGTAGAATAGTTTTATATTAATTCGATAGCAGATGTCACACTCAAGACAAAAAGCATTAAATTAACAGATCAGTTTACCTATTTAATTATCAACTTTGATTGGCAATGTTGTTGAATCAAGACATCACAGCACTCATGACCCTCCAATGAGTGCTCCATCTCCATCAGCAAGTGCAGAATTCCAGTTCCAATGGTACCAGTAACAGTGTTATCATATATCCGTTTCACCTTTCCCTTGAGTGTTGAGCGTCAGCCAGATCTTCTAGTCACTTCTTGCAGCACCATTCTACTTTCAGCATTCACTTTAATGATTGCCGGGCTATACAGTTTGTCTAACTATACAGCAACATCAAATACCATCACAGGCACTACATCTAAGAATTTCAGCTGCAAGAGCAAGAGGACATCAACAAAGAAAAGACACTGGCGTTGGATAGAACCCATATTGAGAAAACCGGAGAACAATATAACTAGAATGTCTTTTTAATGGAACCTGCAGGGGTATAGGAATAAAAGAAGGCCAAAAAATACATAGAGAAGGAAGCTGGAGAATGAAGTTAGAAAGATGGGGAGGACATGGGGAGAGCTGCATGTGATAACAAAGGATATAATCACTTAACCTTAGTTGGTTGAGGGCCTATGTACCGTTGAGGGCTAGAGAGGCAGAAGAGAGCAAGAGGACGTCAACGAAAAATGTGGATTTACAACATTAAAGTCACGTTACGTCTTTATGGCATGACAGTATCCATTGCCAGCCAGTGTGCACTGGATCGCAAATTATTCCTACCCATGATGCTTAACTGCAAAAGTGGTTTATGATGATGATTATTGTTATGAGAAATTAGGATACATTTCTCAAAGCAACCGTAGTTTTTAAAAACCTGAAGAAAATATAGAACTCTAAATTGTATGGTTTTGAAACCAGATTACATATTTTTAAATTATAACGTTATTTCAGGTTGTAACAAACACCACTAACAGTTGCAGGACCACTAAAGACAAGGAACGAAAGTTAAATGCGTTAAAAAATAAATGCTAATGACATTTGATGCCTGTTTAATGGTATTAAATGAAGAAAAGCAAGAAATGAGAGAAATGTCTGGACAACGGCTTGCATCAGTTGTAGGAGAAAAAAGATCATGATATATTTTGAACATCATGAGAAGAAGCAGATAGAGAAACACTAAACAGTTACTGAAATTGGAGGGGGAAATGGATCGAGGAAATGAGGACATCCAGTAGAATCCTGAGTCGCGCGTTGTTGAGAGAGGCCAGGTGTGTTGGATTCCATCCGTGATGTCAGAAGTGATGTAGTCTATAACAGCATGAAAAGATGATGATGATGATGAAATGTAGTTTTTTTTACTCACTAAGTAGTACATAGACCTCACACCAACTCCCAGCAAGTTATCCTATCCTTTGTTAATGTGTGCAGCTGTCCCCATATCCTCCCCATCTTTTCAGCTTTTTAACTTTGCTCACAAATTACCTTCTTCGTGTTTTTATGGTCTACACTGAGGAATTGTTTTAAAGAAAACTTGATATTTCATGACTGCACCATGTACTTTTTGTCTTTCTGATTCAGAAATATTTGTGGCTGAACTCTGTGTCATGGTAGCCTGATTTGACATAAGTAGGCTCTTCACAGAAGGAAACATTTTTCTTCCTGTGAGAAGTATATCTCAACTGAAATGTTAATGAAAGTTTTTTGCATACTACCTTTGACCTGAAGTAGTATAGTGGCTAGATACTCACTTGCTGGCCAAAAGATTTTGGGCTTGAGGTGGATTTTTCCCCTACAAAATTAATGTTAGCACCCAGGTTGATCCAGCCTATGGGTACCAGATAATTTCCTGGGAAGCATAAGCAGCCGGCAGGGTGTTGACTACATCATAAGTGCTGATTGATCTGTTACAAATATGACTCTACCAACATATGCCACATGTGTGTATAAATTCTCCTCTGTACATAATATCTTTATGCTTGAAATAGATCTTACTAGAGAATTTGCAGGTAAACATACATGTCCTGTCTGTTTATATATTTCTTACCGGGAAGGCTATCCCGGTCAACAAATGCCCGCAGAAGTCAGATATGTTGGCCGAAATGTGCAAATATCGCAGCCATGCTGTAAACGGACACAACGCAATTACATCTTCGGATGAACGCAGAAGAAGAAGATATATCTCTTAAGAACATTTACTGAAGAGAGCAGTTTTCTTCCTAATATGACCAAATTATACCATAAGGTATGTTAAACTATTATGCATTCTATGGGAATAGATCTGCCTAGTAAGTTTGCATGTAAAGATATATTTTATTTCTTTTAAGAACAGATAACACTTGAATGTCTATACAATGAGGAGATTTTTCTTTTTGGATCCTACTAAAAATGTTTATGAAATTACTATACATCAAAATTCTGACATGCTAAACTTTCTTCTCAAAGGAATGCTATATCCGGAGTTTCAGTACCGACGTCCACCACCATCGTATGCAGCTTCAATGCAGGATTACCAGACTCAGGTATCACAAGAACAAGATGACAGTTTTACTGCCAGAAACACAGGCCAAGGTGATGGAGATAGTTTGCCCAGTTCCCCGCCTCCTTCGTATCGTTCCAGAGCTTCCACTGCTCACTCAGGGATTCACATGGCGTTCCCCCATAACCTGGACGGGGACCACCCAAACTCCAGACCACCGACATACAGGTCTCGAGCCCCATCTCGACGGCCATCGATCCCACAAGAAGTTGGATCTGATCAAACTGTTTTGGAGAGCGAGCATGAAAACGGAGTGCCCCGGGATATTTCATTTTTGGGGTCTTCCCATGTACAAATCTCTTCAGATGGTGAGCAGACAAGCAGAGTTATAGTATCTTCTGCTTCTCCTTCCTATTCACACATTCCACTATCAGAGTTAGCAACAAAAGAAATGCCTTCAGACCAATTCACTTCTTCCATGCAAGATTCCTCGATGCCTTCTGTCTCGCAAGTCTATACAGTGCCTTTAAGAAGAAGCAACCAAAGTGATGTTCATAACAGAGACACACACCTCAGTACTCCTAACTTAAATTCAGATTTAACTCTTTCTGCATCATTACAAGTAAATCAGCACGGTTCAACAACAGACAGCCACAGTGCTCAAAGACAGCCGAGCCATCACCAGCGGATGGCATCTGAAGACCGACATGTTCTGGAACAAACATTGCAGTCGTTAGAAGAGCATATGAATGAGAGTACGGGAATTACGAATGAAGGTGCCAGTTTTGATGAGCAAGATCGAGTGGTACATCATGTGAACACATATTTATAACATATTATAGACTGAGCAGATGGGTATATCTTAGAACTCAGGAATTCTGTTTCCATTTTAAAATTTTAAAATTGCAAAAATACAAATTGTTGGCTCTGTTTTAGTCTACCCTGGGACATGTTGCTTTCAATTATTCTATACAAAATATCAAATATATATACTTTCTGTTTTATATACTTTTGTACTTTTAGCAGTAGTTATTTTTTCCGTGCATCATTGAACCTGTCTGCTGTTTTTATTTTATACAGATTCCAGAACAAGGATTTTCATGGTGCTTGGGAGTAGAGATGATAGTTCCTATTTTTGTACTATTCTGGGTATTTTTAACTCTTTATGTAGCAACAATGCACCTCCTATGACTGGAACTCTTCTGCACAAGTTAGCCTGTTGTGTACAAGGAAGCTTCAAATGGAAACCTTAAAAGTGTGATAGAATTTGCAGTAAACATGCCAGTGTCTTGTAACTTGTCAGGATTATTGTTAAGGATCTCAAGAGTGTTAAGCACCTGGCATCACAGTGCAGATGAACATGGTGACCTCATAATGACAGTTTAAAAATAACTGCCGGACCTTTGACATAGACCAAAGAGGAGCAAGATGCTGTTATCCATTTGTTGATCGGCGAAGAGGTGAAACCTATTCATTGGCAGATTATGATGTCACCGTGTTCGTCTGCACCGCAATGTCACGTGCTTAACACTCTTGACATACTGCAATATTGACAGGTTTCGAGGCAGTAGCATGGTTATTGTAATTTCTATCATGCTTTTGAGGCGTTCATTTGCAGACCCTGTCGTATGTTTGTACATCTTACAATACAGGGACTAATTGTTTGTTTTTTTTAAAAATAGTTTTCAGGTGGAAAAGTGGGTGGCAATTTGTGTAATTTTCACTGAAACAGGCACAGAGCAGTAATGTCTGCAGTGAAGTTGGAACCTTGACTGCTACTACTACTACATTTTATATTTTGTCAGGCTGTACTAAAGCACTCAAACAGAACTTATGTCTCCCACAGCATGCTGTATATTTGGCCCCTGTGGGTGTAGTATACCCATAATTTTGTTGTTCCATGATTTCTTCCCTCAGGCATCAGTTATATGTTCTAAGGAGCACATATTACAAGAAAACTGAGTCATTTTGAGCGTATGTAGGCTGGAAAAAGAAATGTTAAAATCATTTATATTTTAGTGAGTTGATTGATAATATTGAATGTTAACTAAGTCTTAGTCTTAGTTCAGGTTTCAACTTTGCTGAAATAAGGTGATCCCATACTGGCTCCGTTTCTGTGAAAATCAAATGAAAATTTCTTCACTGTTCCATTTGAAAAACTGGTGAACAAACAACTGTCAGGGGCACACTCCAGAAATATGGCTAAGCAGTAAATGCACATGGCAGTTGCCAGAGGTGCCAAAGCCAACAGTCACCACCAGAAATGCAGTCTGTCATTAATGGAAGTACTCAGCCACAGTGACAGTTCAGTGGCGATATAAATTATCAGTTTGAAGTTTAGTTGAATTTTATATTTCAAATATGCAAAAGAAGTATTAGAAAGATAAGTAGAGGACCCTCTTCTTGCCATTAATGCATCTGGCATATGATGCTGAACCTGTGTTTTGAAGGGGAAAGATAGCCCCATGACAGATACTGTTGTTGGGCTGTAAAATAATTAAGCCTGCACCTAGGGAGCCGCGTTAGCCCATTCGATAGGAGACTCACTTTTAAATCCAGCTGCGACTCGCTGCAGCACACTGCCGGTGTTCGAAACCAGGGGGTTCTTGGGGTTTACCCAGCCTCGAGGTAAAGGGTACCAGAGTTAACACTCTGGGGTAAATGAAGGAACATCGCTATAGTTACGGAGTTGCATGGGTACGGCGATACAGGCGGGCAGTTTCTTATCAGCTGTCCATACTGGTGGCAGAGCACTTATAGTTTATAACCATGTGCAGTGACGCTAGTTTACATCTCCCGACTTTACCTTTTTTAAATTCTGAGCTGCAACATGGCAAATTCCTTTCTGCATCATCTTTCCTTTCTGGACAGTCTTCTCATGTACACTGAGCCTATCTAGGAACCATGCTAATCACAATAACATCTTGCTACTGTCAGTTATTAGATGCTCGCCTGCCACCGCATAGGTATGGGTTCATATCTACAAGTTCTGGTTGTTCATTAACTTCTGGACTTTGGTATTGCTCCAGAGCTTGACTTTTGCGTGCACATCCTTGTCACAGATCTTGCTTATTTGTATGCAGACTGTTGGTTCCTCATCCTTCATGCAGATGCACTCTGACTTCAGAAAGAAAAAAAAATCTGATTAGTCATTTTTTATGACATGCTTGTTAGTTGGTCTACCCGTTCCCCCACCCCAAAAATGGGACCACATAACCTCCACTGGCACTTTAGAAGACAATGAAGTACTGTTAGATCTTAGAATCTTGAAACTTGATCCTTTACAAATGTGTGGAAACATTTTGGTTTGCACCGTTTCAGTTTGATTAAAGGCCAGGGAATAGATTGGATTCTTTTAATCATTTGTAACATGTGTTGACGTAAACAGGAGTGACTGCAGTCGTTCTGGTGTCTGGAAGTACTAAATTCAACACAGACTTTACTTAGACTGGTGGACTAGTAGTAGTATATTTTACCCAACCAGGACATCACACAAGCGATAAACACCCGATGACACAAAGTGCCACCATGCGGATGAGGATCACCCATGGAGAGGTCCCGGAAACCCCGTTCAGCTATTAGGCCAGATTTAAGGCCCGCCCGGCTATATTGTGGCCCCTGGCAAGAGCCAGGGTGGGGGCTTCCAAATAAGGAAAAATTGCATCCCACAAGGGGATGACTGTGATATAATTGACAGGTGGGCTGGAAAAATCATGGACAGATGCAACCAAAGATTTCGACCAGTCTTTTATCAGATAAACGCAACACAAGCACTGACTACAAAATTAAATGGACACGACAGCAGAGCGTATGAACTGCCAAGTTCCCTATTGATGTTGACTGTTTACAATCTCTATTGTGTTGTGCATTGAGTTGTATTTAGTAACTTGTGCTGCCAGGTTTTTTTTTTTTTTTTGCAACACTTAGATTAAGTGAGTGAAGTAAAGTAATGGACCCTTTTCCACGCCTTTAGGTGAATCGGACATATAGGGCTAGACCTATATTTTATAGGCCAGTCGGCACTTGGTGGGTAAACATTTTTTTATAACTCAACTGTCATGTCACAAATAAAATTCAACAGTTGAATATGACATCTTATGAAACTAATTCCCCTATAAATGTAATTTTTCTGTACATCTCCACTTCGGTCTTGACATGATTTTTGTATCAGTTACACTGGCATGTTGCATTTACATTGTTTAAATTTATAATTTGATCATTTGTGTATGTGCGTTTTTTGTAATCATATTTTTGTTAGGATTATTTTGATGTCCATTCCAAGCGTCTTCCACAACATATGTTTATCAGCAGACAAACTGTTTTGTGTGTGTGTGTGCCTTGGCGTGATTTTTCCTTTTTTTAAGTATAATGAAATAGAACAAATGTATTCCCAATAGCAGATGCTGCTACAGGGACGTGAATTTTGAAAACCATTGCATACTAGGTCATGGTTTATTAAGATTGAGATGTTGTGGTATAGCAGCTAGGTGCTCTCCTGCAGATCCTAAGGTTGTGGCTTCAGATCCTGATGGAGCCGGGCTTTTCCCCAGAAAATGACTTTGGCTCCCAGGTCGACCCAGCCTTAAATAGGTAGCAGATAAATTCCTGGGAAATGAAGGCAGCTGCCATGATCTCATCACCCACTGAGTGCCGGCTGGTCTGTGAAGAATAGGTCTAGCCCTATATGCCCAGTACACCTGAAAGCATAGAAAAAAGGTCCTTTACTTTAAAAAAAAAGGATTTTTTATTGAGTAGCTAGCTCTCTTCGTTTGATTGTCAACTTTAGTTGGCCGAGTCTACCTCAGACTCTTCTTGTTCTTGTTCTTCTTCGTGTTAACTGGCTGTAAACTCTGGTGGAAATCTCTGGTTGTTTGTCCACATCTGGACTTATAGTCTTGTTCCAGTACCTGAGTTTCACAGATCAGGCTTTTCTGTTTACAGGATTGGTTTTTTGCTTCTCAGGCAGACGCATTCTGACTTATTAAAAAACCTAATTAGTCGACTCTTATGACATGTTTGTTAGGGAGGCAATGGAACTGTTTTTGTTCTCCCTACACAGTGGAGCCCTGGAATCCCAAAGGGGGACCTCAAAATAAGGTCTTGTTACCACCAGTTATTACATGCTTGCCCGCAAGCTGACTGGTATGGGTTCAATTACCAGGTAATGTCCTGGGAAGTAAAGCTGGTCAGAATGATTTTGGTCGCATCACCCATCAAGTTCTGGTTGGTCTATAATAATTTGAGTCTAGCATCATATATTTGATGCTCTAGTGGCAGGAAAAGAGCCCTATATCTTGCTCACTGCCAGTTAATCTGGTAAATAACATAAAACAAAAACACCTAATAGAAAAAATAACATTATGGGAAATTGGACCTAATGGAAAGTGTTGGTTTACTGGCTTTTTATTGTGACAGAGTTAAAGATTACAATTGTTGGAAAACCTTACGAAGAGGTGTAGCTAGTTCACATACTGATTAATAGAATCTGCTGGTGGTAAGTATGATGCTTGTGCCTGATATATTATCATTATATCTATGCCGTACGAATCTACCTTCTAATGACCAGGAATCTCTGTACCGATGCACCTGTTTGGCACAAATACATAATTACCCATGTGAATAATGTACAGTACCAGTGTAAAGATGATACTTTTATGGGACTAGCAGCCACATTGTGGACAGTTATTTATTGCAAAATGTATTTCTGTATAACTCTTGACATACTTTTGTATTGATTGTTACTCTTTATGTCCCATGTGTCTTTGATTTTAAAACTGTGGTTTCAAAGGTTAGTTTGCATATTCTTTACAGCTGGGCTGTTCAGCTGTTTTT